GACACATGTGTCTGCAGTGTCCTTTAAGCAAGGGCACCTAAAGATTAAGCATAAAGATTCCAATAAAACACCCAGGGGATCAGACTTGTTTGGAAAAGTTAAGGCAGGATCTGCCGCCTTTGGCAAGGTCCATTCGACCTTTCGGAGAGTCCTCCTTACAGACTTGCCAACCAAGTCCCATGATTCCCCACAGGAATCTACTGCAGGTGAGGGAGGGGATGTGTAAGAGGGTTAAGGTTGGTGGTCTGCTGGGTCAAAAGTATACTCAGAATCAGAAGTGTTAGAGGTATGATGTTTTGTGTGAAGAAGAATCTGATGGGTAGAGCAGGAGTGACAGAGAGAGGGTGGAGACTGGAGGGTGAAAAGGCCTGGACGTAGGGAATCTCTGAATATTTTCCACCGTGGTGACAGCAATTACCTAATTTGTGCAATGTGTTAAAATTCCAAGTGCTGTCTCACTGTTTTGATTTCCATTTCCTTGGTGACTAATGATGTCCAGCATTTTTTCATATGCTCTTGACCATTTGCATATCTTCTTTGGCAAAATGTGTATAGATACTTTACCACATTTAGATTGATTTATTTCACTTTTAAGAATTAGGTTGTGCCCTAGCTGGTTTGGCTCAGTGGATAGAGCGTCAGCTTGAGATCTGTTTATGTCCCAGCCTTCTATTCTAGTTCTAGTCTGAGTAGAACTGCTCATCAGTTTGTAATTTTTAAGTAATTACTATCCTGTTTTTCATACCATGACAAAATATCATATCCCCAGGAGTAGCACACCGGGTTCCAAAGAGTGCTGATAGTGTCCTTTCAACCATAAGTCTTAATTTGATGAATTTGATTATCTGTTTCCCTCTCACTAAATGTTCCTTAAAAAGGAGGCAGCCTACTGACCTTGAACCACAGACAGGTGAAGGTGACCTTGGAGACCCAAGAAAACATGGAAGCTGTTGTAAGACCAAGGGGGGAGGTGTGGCTCATTTCTGACTGTTCCTTCAAGTACTGTTGTGAAATGTGCTTCTTGGCACAGAGCGGGTGTTCATGGACAGTGGGGGTTACTGTTTCAGAGGTGTGTTCTTCATGACATGGGCTCTGGGCTCTGTCCCTGCTTCACCTCAGAGTCACCTGGGGCTACATGTTGCCAACTCTGATTGTCTTTCCACTTAGGAAAAAGAAAGTATGAATATTAAACTAAAGGGACCACTTGTGTTTATTTTGACATTAGATTTGGCTATTTCCACCTAACTGATCCCACAGCAGAAAATTGACAAAGTGATATAGGTGTTGCATTTAAACATGTTTCCCAGAGAGCAGGCAAAGATCCAGCCTGAGATGGGAAATTTAAGGATTGGAAAAGGCCTCAAGACCTGCCCTGGGAAGACATGAAGCTGATGCCCAAGGATTAGATTAGGACATTCCCAGGCTGTCCTAACTTGTGCACACCAGTTAGAGTCCCTATTTTCTTTTTAAATATATTTCTTTATTGATTTCATAGAAGGGAGAGGGAGAGAGAGAAACATCAATGACGAGAGAGAATCATCGATCCGCTGCCTCCTGCACACCCCCCACTGGGGATCAAGCCCACAACCCAGGCATGTGCCCCTGGCGGGAACCATACTGGGGATCCTTCAGTCCACAGGCCAAAGCTCTATCCACTGAGCCAAACCAGCCATGGCTAGAGTCCCTATTTCTGATCATAGCATTTCCTGAATAGGACTCAAGAACCCTGGTGTCACCTCAAAGGTGGGGGTCAGGGGCCCTATCACTGTCTAAGCAGTTGTGTGAATGAGGGCAGCGGTTGCCCGAGAGGCTGTTTCCTAAAGTCAAATTCAGTATCAACATCCTTCTGCGGCCTGTGCTCTTCTTCAGACCTCTCAGTTCTTTATCAGGACGCCAAGGTGGTGGAAGGAAGTGTTGCACATGCAGAACAAGTTTACCATTTTTGTTGCTTCATATTGTTTTTAATATGTGCACATACTGTTTCAAGAGCAGTTATGAGTTTTCTCGAATGCAGTTACACCACCATGAAGACGGAAAGCACTCCATCAACCCAAAGGAACACAGTCGTGGTGGCGGTTTATACTGTATCCTCTTTGAACAGGGATTTGTTACAGGTTCCTCCAACCCTGGACCTTTTCCGGAATGGCACGCAGTGGGTCACCATGTGGTCTTTTAAGTCCTGTTTAGAAACTTTGACACTGCATTTGCAAGGGCACAGAATTATACAAGGCTAGCAGCGTTCTTCTGAGTGAAAGTTTTTGACATTGGACAATGCGGCACACATTAGGTCTTCAAAATGGAGATTCTACTATTATGAGTTATGTAAATCGGGACAAGATTTCTACTTGCATGTCTTCATTTGCATGGTGGGAGGAATGATGGGGGCAGGGGATCATAGGAGATACCAATAATCATGAAATCATAAAATATCTACACCGCTAAGAAAACATAAACTAGCACCGAAAGAAAGAAGAGGGACCAAGTCTGGACATTCTTTGCTCTTCAAAGAAATAAAAGCAACACCTTTTCCCCCATGTTTCATAACATCTCCTGGAAGTGTAAACATGGAAATGATCCCTGAAAACAGCAAAAATGAGCATGGACGGCTTGGTGCCTTCTGCTGAAACAAAAAACCCCAGCTACTCTTCTCATCAGAGGCTTTGCTGATACTCTGTCTGCAGTTCACCTTAATTTTTCCTTAGATCATTATCTTCTGAACAGCAATAGCTTCCTGGTGTTTTAACCAGAAAACCACCCTAGACAGGCCCAGGAATCACTCTACTCACAGAAAACCCATGATGGGTACAACTGTGCAGATGACCAGAACTTTCAACTGGGAGGAACTCAAAAGTTTCAAAAGGTACACAAATTGTGTCACAGTTTGAATAGAGGCAAAATGATAGGCCATTTTAAAAATGAATTTCAAATTATTTCCATTGGTTTTAAATCAAAACACCATGGCCTAAAGCAGTGAGAAGTCCCTCATGTCACACACCCATGCCCATATTCTTAATCAAGTAGCACATGCTCTGAAACTTACAACCATGTCTACAGCTTTCTGGAAAGCCATTGCTGTGAATCCCAGGAAGGCAGAACTTTGGTGATGTTTGCCCATTGTTTAAATCCACACTCTAGCAGATCCACAAGTCTTTAAGAAGTATTACATGGGAGGAAAGATGATCAAAGATGACACCCCCATTTACTGAGGCCCCTACTCTCCATAATGAAGACGTATAATCCACCCCCATTCCCAATTATCTTACCTGTCAGTATTTGTGCTTACTTTTTTTCTTTTCTTTTGAAAATAATATTATTGTTGTTGTTTTAAGACAGAGAGTGAGATAGAAACATCAATGAGAATGAACATACATCAATCAGCTGCCTCCAGCACACACCCTACTGGGGATCGAGCCTCCAACCTGGGCATGTACCCTGACCATCGATCAAACCATGATCTCCTGGTTCATGGGCTGATGCTCAACTACATAGCCACACTCACCTGGCAACAACTTCATTTTCTAAGACACCAAAGTGTTTTTTATTTAACCAGTATCTCCTTTCCCACAAAAACATAAGCACCAGCAATGCAAGACATTTTTTCTTTCATGCCTGTATATCATGACTTGGGCAGGTGTGTTAAATTGGGCATGTTTTCCATGTAAATTGCCTGGCACGTGCAGGATGTTGACATTATCATCACGATCATACTTCCACCTTGGCCAGGCAACTCAGTTGACTAGAGCGTTGTCCCAATATGCCAAGCTTGTGGGTTCATTCACAGGTCACACAAGAATCAACCAATAGTTGCATAAACAACTGGAACAACAAATCGATGCTTCTCTTTTTCTGTCTCTCAAATCAACTTTTTTTAAAAGGTGGGGGAAAAAGAGTAAAATTCTGTCAGCAAGAGCAGCTTCTTGGAAGAGAGATCCTAACTTTGTTTTCTTGCTAGGTTTGGGTTCTTTGACAATATTCCTAAACTTATAAACCTCAATTGAGTCATAAAAAAAGTTAAATATTTTGTTAAGTACATGACTTTATATTAATATATATACTTAACTGAGGTACTTTTTGGAAAGGTGCCCAATACAGCATAGTAAATATTTCAGTATTTAGTTAACAACTGGCGGCCTATTGAAAAGAAATATATCTTGTTGAAAAGAAAATGTCCCATGTCCATAATCACACAGAGCTACTCCATGACCACAATGAATCAAGACAAAAGCAAAGGCATTCATGTTTGCACATGTGATCAAGGAGAACTGGTAACAAAGGAATAAAAATAATGACTATTGCTTTTCTCACTAATATGATTTGTGCTTCTTACAATTTTGTTTAGCATGATTATTTTTCTGCCTTCTAAAGAAAAATGATTTTCATTATGTAAGATAGAATGAAGTTCATTTCCTCCCAGAACTCAATGCAGAAAAATGTATTGCTTCCTTGAATGGAAATCAAATTGTCTATCACAAGGCAAAATATAAAAAGAAATCCCTTTAAAGGCTGCTGTTACTGTTACATCCCAGGCGTTTATGGTTCCTGATCATGCTTATTAGTTCAATTCACTCCACCCCATTTCTCTTTTACTACAGATGTGATTGTGTTGGTCTCTGGCTAGAGGGGACTAAAAAATACATGACTAAAGTTTTTAATACTTTGAAGGAATAAGAGATGAGTCTGTGCCAAACATTATAAATATAAAGTAATAAAAAATATAATTTCCCTGAGAAAACCATGTCTGAATTTGTACACATATGATACTTGTGACTCAGAATTTATAATGATTAAATGGAAAAAATGTCAAATTGATTTGAAAATACATAATTACTATGGGATAATTAAATACATCCTCAGGAAATAACAAAACACCAAAACATTTCTTTTCTTTTTTAAAAAATATATTTTATTGATTTTTTTATAGACAGGAAGGGAGAGGGATAGAGAGTTAGAAACATCAATGAGAGAGAAACATCAATCAGCTGCCTCCTGCACACCTCCTACTGGGGATGTGCCCGCAACCAAGGTACATGCCCTTGACCGGAATCGAACCTGGAACCTTTCAGTCCGCAGGCCGACGCTCCATCCACTGAGCCAAACCGGTCAGGGCCAAAACATTTCTTAGTATAAGAGTGGTTGGGAAACAGTTCCTATTTCATTAAAAATTACAGAAGCATTGCCCTAGATCAGTGGTCGACAAACTCATTAGTCAACAGAGCCAAATATCAACAGTACAACGACTAAAATTTCTTTTGAAAGCCAAACTTTTTAAACTTAAACTATATAGGTAGGTACATTGTTATTAACTTAATTAGAGTACTTCTAAGGCTAAGGAAGAGCCACATTCAAGGGGCCAAAAAGCCGCATGTGGCTTGCGAGCCTCAGTTTGCAGACCATGGCCCTGATGGTTTTGCTCAGAGGATATAGAGCACAAGCTTGCGAAATGAAGGATCCCAGTTTGATTCAGGTCAAGGGCATATGCCCGGGTTCCAGGCTCAATCACCAGCAGGGGGCGTGCAGGAGGCAACTGATCAATGGTTATCATTGATGTTTCTTTCTCTTTCTCTCTCCCTTGCTCTCGGAAATCAATTTAAAAATATTTTTAAAAATTACAGAAGCATTTATTAGGAAAAATGGGCATAATTCTAATCACATACAACCCAAGATAACTGACAACATTGAGAGATTAGGCTCAGCTCTGAGTGACAGCACACATCAGAGTCTGCCTGAAATGAGGAAAGTGCCAATTCTCACATGAAAGGACTGGCTCAGAGCCCTCACTGCAGAGGGTGGTACAAAAACAAACTGTCCAGGGGCTCCTTGGCACTGAACCATTGCAGCTGTCACAATGGGATCTGAATTACAGTCAGTAGTACCAACAGAACAAGATGATTACTAGACAAACTAGATCTAATGCAAATGCAATCAAGAGAACAGTGCACACCCTTCTGAGAACAGTCTCAACCATGACAGTCTACATTTGTTGCCTGGTGGACACCTATGGGCTTGAAGGAAAAGCCAACCTATAGTGGAACTTTAATGTTGAATTCTGAACAACTGTAAAGCTTACACCGACATCAATGGAATTAAAGAAGTGGCTGGCAGTTTTGAGGATATTCTTGGCTGGCAGGGCAAAGATTTAGAAAAACAAACTAAAATATTCTCTTCTTAATGTGAACCCCATAGCACAATTCCCAGCCAAAAGCAACACACACAAAAATCCATGAAAATAATACACAGGGGGACTCTACAGTGAACAGTAAGTATGTACAAATACATGGCAAATACTTATTGACTAAAAGAATAGTGAATTTCAAGTGCAATTGAAAATTTAAAAAGAATATATATATGTGTGTAGTGCCTATTCATTCAATACCCATCAGGGCACATTACTGGTCAGGGCACAGGAAAGACAACCCATTGGTGTTTCTCTCGCACATAGATGTTTCCCTCTATTTCTCTCTCTGCCTTCCTCACTCTAAAGCATCAATTTAAAGAAACCAACAAAAAAAGAATGAGTACTGATAATGACCAAATTTGTCAAAAGTTCATAGAACTTCTTTAATGCTGTGAGTTTTGGGGTATATATGACTTCATTTGCAACAGGTTTACATATACCAGTTAGTTACACTAATAGGATTTCCTTCCAGTGCAGTTTTCAAGATACTCTGAAAGTATTTGTTAAAATTTAAACTTTTTTTAAATAGGTAATTATACAGTATCTATCCAGTGTACATTTTCACATTGTATTATTGTAGGGACATAAGGCAACATGAAGGTTTTCCTATATTTTTACATTAAATACAATTCTCAAATTGAGGTTTTTTTTAATGATCTTTGCAAGGAAAAGAGACAACTGAAGGCTTTCCCACCTTCTCTACGTATACACTATTTCACCAGGTGCATTCTCACATGTCCAAGAAAGGCTCTCCCACATTCCTTATGTTCATACACATATTGTTGGGTGTGAGTACCTTCATGATTTTGTAAAGAACTAGGATGGCCAAAGGTTCTTCTACAATCCTTACATGACAGGGATCTCTTCAGTGAGTTCATTCATCCTTTACAATAAACTGGAAAAAAATGAACACTTTCTAACCCTCTTACATTACTAGGGTCCATCCCCAATAAGGATTATCATACATGATGGCAGAGCTGAGAGATAAATGAAGGCTCTTGGTGATTCTTTACATTAACAGTGTTTATCAATACATTTTGTTTTCACATGTCTGTAAAAACTAGTTGGAACCTAAAGGCATTGATGTGGTTTCTCTCCACTATGAGAAAAAGAATGGCAAAAACTGTTTACCTCATTTCTTATTCATGAGTCTTCTTTCCATTGTGAGTTCTTTTATGTCTTCGAAGATGTGAGGTACAACTGAAGTCTTTTCCACACTGCTGACATTCATAGGGTTTTTCCCCAGTATGAGTTCTTTCATGATGTCGGAGTACGGCACTTAGAGCAACAAAAGCTTTCCCACATTGCTTACATTCATAGGATTTCCCCTCAGAATGCATTTTTTTATGGCTTCTAAGAGACTGGGAAAGACAAAAAGCCTTTCCACATTGCTGACATTCATAAGGTTTTTCCCCAGTATGAGTCCTTTCATGACATCGGAGGTAAGTTAAAGAAGAGAAAGCTTTACCACAATACTTACATTTATAGGGTTCTTCCCCAGTATGAATTCTTTCATGACATCGGAGGGAAGTTACATTAGCGAAAGCTTTGCCACAATCCTTACATTTATAGGGTTTTTCCCCAGTATGAGTTCTTTCATGATGTCGGAGGTTACCTAGAGTAACGAAAGCTTTCCCACATTGCTTACATTCATAGGGTTTTGCCCCAGTATGAATTCTTTCATGACATTGGACAGAAGATCCATTAGCGAAAGTTTTGCCACAATGCTTACATTTATAGGGTTTTTCCCCAGTATGAATTCTTTCATGACGTTGGAGGGCACCTAGAGCAAAGAAAGCTTTCCCACATTGCTTACATTCATAGGGTTTTGTCCCAGTATGAGTTCTTTCATGACATCGGAGGGAAGATGCATAAGAGAAAGCTTTACTACAATGGTTACATTTATAAGGTTTTTCCCCCGTATGAATTCTTTCATGACATTGGAGGTAAGTGGGATGAGAGAAAGCTTTGTCACAATGCTTACATTTATAGGGTTTTTCCCCACTATGAATTCTTTCGTGGCGTTGGAGGGTACTTGGAACCATGAAAGCCTTCCCACATTGCTTACATTCATAGGGCTTTACCCCAGTATGCATTCTTTCATGATATCGGAGGGTACGTACATTAAAGAAGGCTTTTCCACATTGCTTACAATCATACGGTTTTTCTCCGGTATGAGTTCTTTTATGATTTTGGAGGGAAGTTGAATAAGAGAAAAGTTTACCACAAACCTTACATTCATATGGTTTTACCCCAGTATGAATTCTTTCATGATATCGGAGGGTACGTAGAGTAAAGAAGGCTTTTCCACATTGCTTACAATCATATGGTCTTTCCCCAGTATGAGTTCTTTTATGATTTTGGAGGGAAGTTGAATAAGAGAAAACTTTACCACAAAGCTTGCATTCATAGGGTCTTTCTCCAGTATGAGTTCTTTCATGATTTCTAAGGGAAGCTGAATAGTGGAAAGCTTTCCCTCTGAGGCTGCCTTCATGGCTTCGAATATTCTGGTGATGCTTGAAAGCTTTCTCAGGTTCCTTACATTTATAAGGGTTTTCTTCATATTCTTGAAACAGGTATAGTTTGGGTCCAGTGAGAGAGCTCAGGTGATTATTCAAGGATAAGTAACGCATGAATATTTGCCTACACACCGTGGCTTTAGGTTGTTTTATTTCAGTAGGAGTTTCCCTCTTTTCATTATGATTTGGAATCTGGCTGAAGTTTTCTCTGCATTGACTACCATCCTTCCTTGTACAGACTCTCTCTACCGTATGACTGCTGTAAAAATCAGAAGCATATTATTAATACTCTGTTAACAATTTAATATTTATTAATAGTATGACGATGACATTTTTACCGTTTTCAAGGAAAGTGCGAGATTTCTGTACATTCAGATTTTTGAAATTGCATATCCTAAAACCTTTGAAATAGGCTGGATCATAGATGTTATGAAAACACTTATATTCATTAATGGAACTTCCGTATATTGTTTCCAAGTGTAATTATTTTTATACACTAAACTTTAGATCACATTTCAGAAAAAACATTTTGATGAGATTATTCTAAGAGTCAATACATTTAAAACTGGGCTGATACAATTGAATTAGCTGTTTTTAAGATTGTTTTGTGGCTCAGTGATTCACCATAGACCCAGCCACCAAGGGGTTGCCAGTTCAATTCCCCAAAAGGGAACATAGCCAGACTGCAGACTTATTAGCCCTAGTACAGGGCATGCAGGAGGCACCCAATCAATGCTTCTACCTCTCCATCACACCTCCAAACTCTTAATTCAATAAAAAAATATTTTCTCACCATTAGCATGGCTAAGTGGTTGAGCACAGACCTCTGAACAAGGCCACAGATCGATTCCTGGTCAGGGCAAATGCCGAGGTTCTGGGCTTAATACCAAAGTGTGGGGTATGCAGGAGGCAGCCATCATAATTCTCACTCATCATTAATGTTTCTCTCTCTTTCTCCCTCTCCCTACCTCTCTGGAAAAAATAAAATAAATATATAAATAAAACACATAAAAATCTATTTAAAAATCAAAACGAAGATGCTCTTAATGCTCTCTCATGTCAATGTGACTCACCTAAGATTCATCCCATGATATTCATATTTATCTTCACTGTCATGGTCTTCACCTTTTTCTTCTAAAATACATGCTAGAAAAAGCATTATAAACTATTAACACGTTAAGCGCCCAGTCACCAGTAGCTGACACTATACTTTCCGTCCAGAAGACAAAACAGGCTGGGCACTTAACATGTTAAAGAATATAAAAAATGGTTAGATTTTAAGTACACAATGAGCTGTGATCATTCCTAGTTTAATTACCAATGTATTCCCTTTCCATATTTCAGTTCTTAAAACAGCATTGATGAGCAAGCAATAGTAGTTTTCTAATTGACTAAATAAGTAACAAGTTGGTGTAAGCCAGAGTCGCTCTGTGGTTGACCAACAACCTATGAACTGGAATGAATAGGGAGGTCACAGGTCAATTCCCAGTAGGACCGGTTTGCAAGCTAGATCCTTAGTGTGAGGCGCACAGAAGGTAGCCAACCAATGATTCCCTCTCATCATTGATTATTCTATCATTCTCTCTCAACTCCTTCCTCTCTAAAATCAATAAAAACATATTAAAAAAAAAAAAAAAAAAGGCCCTAACTGTTTTGGCTCAGTGGATAGAGCGTTGGCCTGCAGACCGAAGGGTCCCATGTTCGATTCCGGTCAAGGGCATGTACCTTGGTTGCGGGCACATCCCCAGTGGGGGATGTGCAGGAGGCAGCTAATCGATGTTTCTCTCTCATCGATGTTTCTAACTCTCTATCCCTCTCCTTTCCTTTCTGTAAAAAATCAATAAAATATATATTTTTTTATAAAAGAATTTGTGATACCTACCTATTGATGCCAGGTTCCAGAAGGTTTCCAGCATCACATCCGTGTAGAGTTTCTTCTGGGTGGGATCCAGGAAAGCCCACTCCTCCATGGTGAATTCCACATTAACATCCTCAAAGGCCACTGAGTCCTAAAACATCCCACATATGCATATAGGAGAATGGGTGAGACAGACAGCACTGGGGACCTATACGTAATTCAGAGGAAGTTCACATAGGACACATGGTCCCCAACATTCAGTCTAAGACTTGATTGTAAGACTATTATTAATTTGCTGCACTCACTTTCTCAAGAACACATGGAATTTAATGATATAATTTTACTGTGATCACTTCTAGTCTTCATTGCTCTCTAATGTCAGGGTAAAGAGCACCTTGAACAACTTCTATATTAATAAATTAAAATACTTCTATTTTAAGCCCATCGATTCCCTGTGAGAAAATTCATCTCCACTATAACCACCATTTGATGCATCAATCCATGAAGCATACTGTCATATTCACATGAAGTTTTAGTGACTACAATAAAGGCCTGATAGCTTTCTCTTCTATTCATATCAAACAGGAGAGGCCAAGTGGTGTGTGGAAATTCAACTTAGAACAAAATGTACTTGGCCATATTGTCCTGAAGTACTCCAGATTGTTAGAAGTAGCAAGATACACACGAATGAATGAAAATATTCTTGTGGAGTATGGATGATCATTTGTTTTTATAATATTTGTTAGTAACTCAGTTTGACCTTTTTTTGCCTCTCTCATTTCATGGAGATAAGAAGTTAGAGTTAGAGCTCAGTCATGAACAAGACAGGACAACTTAGTACTCTACAAAAGCCCTCTACTCATGAGCCTGAGGGTTACTTGATACTGATTTTTAGGACACATAGACACGTATATTGAAATCATAAGATCACACTTAAACTTCCGGCAGAATTATAACACTGTAACTGGGGCCTGAACCTTGAAGAACAACTTAAGATTTGGCATGTACAAGGGCCTTTATTGAAGTCTGGACTATTTTCATGCTGAAATGGCACATAATTACAAAGTACATAAGAGGTCAAGGGGGTAATGAAAATATCAGGCAGAAAACTCTGTAAAATTTGTCTCAACATATGTTCTACTCCTGAAATGAATACAAAATAAAATTAAATGTAAACTGTAATTGGAATGTAAACTATAAATGGAAGCATATGGGGTGTTTATGGATAGGAAAAAATAATATCATTAAAATGTCCACACATCCCAAAGCAATCTATACCTTCAGTGCAATTCCTATCAAGATACCAATGCTGGCCCTAGCTGGCTTGGCTCAGTGGATAGAGCACGGCCTGTGGACTGAAAGGTCCCAGGTTCAATTCCGGTCAAGGGCATATTCCTGGGTTGTGGGCTCAATCCCCAGTAGGGGGCATGCAGGAGGCAGCTGATCAATGATTCTCTCTCATTATTGATGTTTCTAACTCTCCCTCTCCCTTCCTCTCTGAAATCAATAAAAATATATTTAAAAAAAGATACCAATGTTGAATCTCACATAACTAGAGCAAATATTCAAAAATATTACATGGGACCACAAAACACCCTGAATAACAACAGCAATCTTGAGACAGAAGCACAAACGTGGATGAATCACACTACCTAATATCCAACTGTACTACAAGGCTATCGTAATCAAAACAGGATGGTCCTGGCATAAAATAGCATATAAATCAGTGGGATGGAACAGAGCCGAGAAATAAACCCATGCCTTTATGGTCACAGAATACTTGACAAAGGAAACAAGAATACACAATAAAGTAAAGATAGTACATTCAATCAATGATGCTGGGAAAATGTTAAAAAAAGGAAACTAAAACAGTTTCTTACAACATACACAAGAATAAACTAAAAATGCATAAAAAGTCCTAACTGGTTTGGCTCAGTGCATGGAACATCGGCCTGTAGACTGACAGGTCCCAGGTTCGATTCCGGTCAAGGGCATGTACCTTAGTTGCAGGCACATCCCCAGTAGGAGGTGTGCAGGAGGCAGCTGATTAATGTTTCTCCCTCATCGATGTTTCTAACTCTCTATCCCTCTCCTTTCCTCTCTGTAAAAAAAATAAAAAATAAAATAAAAATCAATAAAAATATATTTTAAAAAATGCATAAAAGACTTAAATGAAAGACTCAAAACTATAAAAATCCTAGCCACAAAAACTGGCAATAAAATCATGGACAGTTCTCCTAATAATACTTGTTCTGATATGTCTCCTGCGAAAAGAAACAAAAGAAAAAATAAACAAATGGGACTGCATCAATCTAAAAGGAAACCATCAACAAAATAAAAAGGCAAACAACCCAATGGGAGAACATATTCACCAATGAAACCTCTGGTAAGGGGTTATTACTCAAAATTTATAAAGAATTTATACACGCCAACACCAAAAAAAAATTTAAAAAAAGGTCATGGGTTCAGTTCCTGATCAGGGCACATGCCCCAGTTTTGTGTTTGATTCCCAATTGAGGTGTGAATGGGAGTGAACCAATAGATATTTTTCTCTACCTCTCTCTCTCTCTCCCCTAGCTATCTCTCTAACATCAATAAAAACATACCTCACAGTGCGAATTTAAAAACATGAAATAAAAAACAGCAAAGAAGCCGAAACCGGTTTGGCTCAGTGGATAGAGCGTCGGCCTGCGGACTGAAGGGTCCCAGGTTCGATTCCGGTCAAGGGCATGTACCTGGGTTGTGGGCACATCCCCAGTAGATGTGCGGGAGTCAGCTGATCGATGTTTCTCTCTCATCGATGTTTCTAACTCTCTACCTCTCTCCCTTCCTCTTTGTAAAAAATCAATAAAATATATATTTTTTAAAAAAAACAGCAGTACAAAAAAAAAAAAGGAAAAAAAAAAAAACAGCAAAGAAAACAGCTTATATCAAAAGAAAAATGGGCAAAGGACCTGAATAGGTACTTCCCCAAAGAGGACACACAGATGGCCAATACAAATATGAAAAATGAAAATTAAAACCACACTGAAAAATCACCTCACACCTGTCAGAATGGCTATCCTATCTAACAAAGAGGGAATATGCTTATTGACTGTCAGGCCCTCACAAAGATGGTAGTGCCCACAGCAGATAAGGAGGGAATATGCTAATTAACTGCTATGCCTTCAAAGTTGGCGGCACCCACAGTCACAAGATGGCAGTGCCCAGTCCCCATAGCCCCGCCAAGGCAGCAGGCCTGGCCGGGCTGCACCGCCTCCAGAGTCCCCCAGTCCCCTCCAACCCCCAGTCGCCCAAGGCCAGCCCGAGGCACAGGCAAGCCTCGGATGTCAGCTGCCCAGCCGCCCAGGGACAGCCCAAGGTGCAGGCAAGCCTCAGATGGCGGCTGCCCAGCCGATGCCCGAGGCACAGGGAAGCTTTGGATGGCAGCTGCCCAGCCACCCGGGGCTGCCCAAGGCTCAGGTAACCAGGGCAGGCCAAGGCTTTTGCTGCTGACAGTGGCAGCAGCAGAAGTGTGATGGGGGTGTCGCCTTCCCCTGATCGCCGGATCACCTGATGCCCCTGAGGGCTCCAGGACTATGAGAGTAGGCAGGCCAGGCTGAGGGATGCCCCCCTCCAGTGCATGAATTTTCATTCACCAGGACTATAGTCATCAATAAAGGCACAAAGTGCAAGTGTCAGTATGGAGTTTCCTCTAAAATTAAAAATACAACTGACTCATAACCTGTTGGGGAGCACATGAGACTCGGTTAGAAAGTTTGTAAGGAATTATTAACATGGGGGAGAGGATATGCAAGTGTTTCTACCCCCACAGGGCACTGTGGATTCCAGCTCAACAGATTAAACCCTGCCAAGGTACGGCACGAGACCAACCCTCTTCCAAAAATGAAGAATTCGGGCCTGAGGACTCCACAGCCCTGAATGATGCACCTTCCCAGGACCCAAATGGCCCAGGGAATAAGCTGGGGGATGATGATGAAGTTGATGACAGAGGCTGAGCAATTATTGGAGTGTATTCACACTCTACAATTTCCAGATAATTAACCATTCCTCTTTTTTGTCTTTCTCATAGCTTGTAAAATCGGAACTGGAGTAGTAAATGCAATTCACAAAATCTGATATTCCAAAGCAGAAAGTTTACTGCCTCTCCTCTACCAATACATTCAGCAAAACAAAAAAGGGGAAGATGACAGGGAACACTCGAGATTTGGTTGGAAAGTTTTTAAGGACATTCTGAGAAAAAAGCAACATGTGGAAGGCTGCCTGCCTTTTATGGAAATTCCAACTTAGGGGAGGGCTGAAGGCAGTGCCCGTAATTATTCCTTGACTTTCCCAAACAATTCTATGCACGTGCAGACCAGGTGTTTACTGGAATCCTTATACTTAATCTTTGGGGGTCTCTTGCTTAAAGGATATTACAAACACACGTGTCCTCCCAAAATTACTTACCTTACCGATCATATCTGCAAGATAAACTTTATCTTAAACTGCTGTTACAATAAAAGCCTAACAAGGCAGGCAATCGAGGCTGCCTGGGTTCCTTTAGCCAGGCAGTACCTTAGGCCTCTCTTTCACAGCAAACTTTGTGTCAGAGTAATCCATTCATCTGTCACTCAGGGTCTGCAGGTCAGCCCAGCAATGACCCAGACATTTCACTTCTGGGAATATAGCCAAAAAAACTCAAAACACTAATGCAGAAAAAAAAAAAAAATGCAACCCCTGCCTTCATTGTAGCATTATTTTTAATAGCCCAGATTTGGAAGAAGCACAAGTGCCCATCAGGAGGTGAGTAGATAAAGAAGCCGTGGTAGAAGTCAATTGAATATTACTCAGCAGTAAAAATGAAGGAAATCTTACCCTGTGACAGCATGAATGGACCTGGAGTGCATTATGGTAAGTCAAGAAAACAAGTAAGAAAAACACAAATATCACATGTATTCATTGATATTTCGAATGTAAAGAAGAGAAACTAACGAAGTATACAGAGACTCATAGATACAGAGAACAGACTGACAGCTGTCAGAGGAGAGGGAATGAAAACAGGGGGAGGGATTAAGCAACACAAACAAACTCTTAGACTCAGACAACAGCATTGGGTACCAGAGGGAACAGGGAGTATGAGGAGCTAGAAGAGGGTAAAGGGGAGAATTA